TATATATTTAAGGGATAATTGCAAAATATTACTTTTGAAATATCATTCAGCATTGTCCATTTTCAACCATGTCACAAATTAAAGATTTGTTAAACCTTAAAATTCTAAAATTTTAAAAAGCTTTTGGGCCTAACACACCCTAAAAACTAAATCTTAACATAACATAGATAACCCTAATATAAATGGAGAAATTAAAAGATGCCACGTTTTATGTGCACATTTGCAAAAATGCCACTTAGGGGTGTTCATTTGCAAAATGCCATTAATTATAGATTTTTAAACCCTATATCTTATAATTCTAAACACTAAAAAATGTTTTGACCCCTAAAACCCCCCTAAACCCTCATAACTAAACTCTAATAGAACATACTTAACCCAAACATAAATAATATAAAGAAAGAATAATTTTGAAAAAGTGGCATTTTTGTAAAGATTTCAAAAGTGTGGCATTTTTGTAAAGTGGCATTTTTTGAAATTTGGCATTTTTTGAAATTTCTCAATATAAATGATATTTTGAATAAATGATATAATATTAGTGGCATTTTTTTTGAAAAGATTTTAAAAGTGTTGCCTTTTTGACAAATGACATTTCGAAAGTGGCATTTTTCGAAAATTATTTATATTTAATCACACTTACAAAGATTTATATATTCTATTATTTGAAAACATATATTGGTTTTTTGTTTGTTATATCTGAAAATTCATATATATTTAAGATTTATCTGATTTATTGTATGTTTTATAATTTACACAAATAATGAAGATCTATTTTACATCTAAAAGATAGTGAAATAAATAATATTTGCATATGGTTTGATCAATTTACATATAAAAATACTCTTTCTGTTTTAAATTTTAAGTTGTTTTAGGTAAAAGCACGGATATAAAGAAACTATTTATCTACTAAAAAGTATCATTTAATATAATTAATAAAAATAATTTAACCAATCACACAAAAGACTGCATAATACTAGTGGTCACACATTGTTCAATAAAGTTAAAAAGTACATAGGATTGTCAAAACAACTTACATTTTGAAACAAAAAAAACCTTTAAAAACAACATTTTGAAACGGAGGGAGTATTAAAACTGATGATATTAACATATGTTTGATCAAAATATTCAGTTTTATTACATTTATGCACAATACATATCATTTTCTTTACGTTTATTGATATTAAAAATTA